ATAGATAAGCCATCAAGATCATATAAAAAGTGCTAGAATCTTTATCCCCCATTTACAAAGCCATTTTTCCATCAATTAAAATAAATAAAGAAATATCAAATAATAATATTGTGCTTTCTATACTCATGCACAAGCCTCTTCACACATTCTTTATTTTGTTTCAAAGCTTCCTCAAAACACAAGCTTTTCAAACACACCACATCTTGGGCTACAAACCCAATCACTTGATCAATAGAAAAAAGAAAGATCCCAAGAGGTGGAGCGTGCCACCCACGATTGCATCTCATGGCCCCCACCAACTTGCCAAGGTGGGCTCATGTGCGCAAATAGCCTCCCATGCAATTTTGAAAAATTTTAAATTCAAATAAATATTTTTAACCTTTATTAAATCAATTTGAATATTTAAATCAATGTAAAATTAATATCTCTATTTTTATAAATCCAAAATTTATAAATAAAATACCTAGAGGTCTATAAAAATTCAAATAACAATTTCAAAAATATTATAACATCAAAACAAACATAAGTAAATACATTTGATGGGAAACTGATCCATATGGTTTTATGAATAAATAAATATACACTGAAGCACTCTACTTGCTGTGGACTATGGTTCACACTGGCTTTCTCAAACTGACCTAGTGTTGCCCATGACCAACAGGCTATGCAATTGCTCATTAGTGGGTCACTAAAGCCTAGCTAATGCGTAAAATGGTTATAATATCAGTTTATGGATTTCAGGTTCTCCCCTAGAGACATACTAATGTCACTTAGATCTGATACAATCTACAACTCTATGGTGTATAGGGATAATCTCTCACACATGCACAAACTTCACCTTGAAAAATGGTTTGTTTTTTGAAAAATGACTATCATTTATACATGTTGTGTGATGATACGTGGATGAGGCTTTGGCTCCCATTTCTGAAGGTTTCATCACACCCAAGGGTCACACAGTCCCTTAGCTCACTCTTTCGGACATACTCCAACATCATCAAGGGATGATTCATTATAATCCTTATTGGTTTATTCTCTATGCTTTGGTAACATAAGTTTTTTCCAACCGACTGACCTAGCTTGTCAAGCTCAGTCCAATATCAGCAAACATCGTTTGCTTAGTATATTCCACACAAAAAATATTCTCACTGAGTTCATATTTCATTACACCAGTAAGTTCAATTACAAGCACTTATAATGCCTTTAATGGCCACACATACCCAACACTTTCTTCCTCTCTAAATTTTCTCTCGAAACCATGCCGGTTTATTCTCTAACTCCTCTCTCTCTCTCTAAATCTATCATTGTCTCTTTTTTTGTGCCCGGGTCCTCTCTATCTAGCAGTGCACTTTCACTCTCTAACTTCTCTCTCTAAATGCTCTCTAACTATGTCCATTTTCTCCATCTAAGCTCTCCATTCTCTCTCTAAACCCCCTTTCCCCATCCCCTCCCTCATATTCTTTTGTGAAGTTGTGAAGCTTTGTTAGATCCCTCTAAAACTTGATCCCTATGTCTGTGAATCTCCAGGAAGGTTATCAAACAAGTATTTCAGAACTTCTAGATGTCAACAATTTCAGCATTTAGTGACCATAGCTTCTAGGTTCAAGGGAATATTCAGAAATTTCACCAAGTGTGCCCTAAATTATCAACTTGAGACCATTTAAAAGTGTTATTTTAGCATAACATGCAGTGCAGATGATCGTAATATTGAATGCGTATTTGGAGAAGGTACAATTTGGGAAAAGGGTATATTAAAAAAAAAATTGTTTGTTTGTTTGTTTTTTTTTTTTACATCAACATGTGACTCTTGAATATTGACTACTTAGCAAGGAAAAGTTTGATGTAGACATGTAAGCCAGTGAAATTAGATGAGGAAATATATGCAATGGCCCCAAGAAAACTATAAATTAAACAATTGTTGATCCTTTGCTCGCTCAGTTTGTTAGACTGTAATATGTACACCTATGCTGATGGTTTATGCTCATATTGGTACACCGAGGATGCGGCGTTTATGTTTGATATTTTTGAAATTGTAATATTTTTTTTAATATTTGTTTTTTAAATCCTATTATGGAAGCTTAAGATCCTATGCCCCTTCTTTTAAATAGTATACGGATGTGATGTATATGAAAAGCTAATTTTGATGTTAACATTTTTAGTGGCTGTATATATTTTAGATGCCGACATGCATATCAATGGCTACAATACACAAGTGATGAGTGGGTTGAATTGGCCTTACCTCAAAGAAGTGCCATCGATCAAATCAACACCGTCACCTTCTTGATTATTATGTAACTGAAATATTGTTTGGCTTTTTGTTTTTCGGTGAATAAGTAAGGATATCAGGCCCTACTATGTTTTATTAAAGAATCAAGATAAATATTTTAAAATCAAGATAAATATTGCATGAACAATTTTTAAACAGCCCTAAGATAAAAATGAAAGGCATTATAAAATCATGGGGATAGAATTTCAACAAGATTCGACAAAATGAAAGGCATTACTAATTCATGGGGCTAGAATTTCAGCAAGATTCGACAAATTGAAGTGCTGATGTAACTTGTTTGAATGGCTATTCCAATATTTGGGTTCTTTTTTCTTTAAGCTGCAACCCACCATGTCATTTAGTCACTAGACCTTAAGAGTTGCTGAACAATAAATGGGCCCTCTTGTTTTAGTTTTCACGTGGGCTAGAAAATGTACAAAAAAAAGGGCAGAAGTAGCCGGACATCATTGAAAGTTCTAAGTCAAAATCCAACAAACCCAAGCCAAAAGAGAAGGGGGTCATTAAATAACAGTTTGAGGAAGAGGGTCCACTTCTTTAGTAATCCTCGACATTGATATGACCATTTTTGGAATGCTAGACTGCTTGTTTGTCTTGTTGCGTGGAAATAAGGCTAAATATGATGACGTCCCAATCAATAATCTAATAAAAGAGAAAAATGGAAATTACCAAACCAACCTCAAGAAATCCACTATGATTACCATTTCATTCAATTTTTATTTATTTTTATGCAAATATCGTTTTACCAAGGTGCGATGGTGAGCAAATAATATGTCATTAATGGCCGAGTAGGTTTTAATTTGGGTACGGCTTATATAAGGATGTAATTTTAATTATGGAAGGTTGTGGTGTCGTATATCATTTATTTTAGTTAAAAGACGTGGATTTAAAATCCCTTTGGGCTTATATAAGGATGTAATTTTAATTATAGAAGGTTGCGGTGTCGTATATCATTTATTTTAGTTAAAAGACGTGGATTTAAAATGCCTTTGATGGTAATGTCAAAAAAAATGACAAGATCTTTTGAGATAATGTCAATTTTATACTATTCAAATAAAATGGATGGTATAGATTAATGCAACCGTACTTCTACAAAGTAAGATTGCATCCTTGTATAAAATTTTTCTTTTCAATTTTGGCCTTCATTCAAAATCAAAGTACTTTCATAAAATAATCTTTTAGGATATTGACATTTTTCAAATACCAATATTTTACTCTATCATATTCAAAGGGACGCGGATTCTATGCGAGCAAGCCGACATATGATGGTGTAAAGCCTACGCCTTCCACCTCAATTGGACGGTGGAAACTGCAGGGCCACAGTACAATCTACACTATCCAACTAAACTAGACGACCTGCCCGCATGAAATAATTAACCGATTTGGTTTAGATATTAAATTGTCCAATTCTTGATAAAGTTAAAAAAAAAAAGAAAAAAAAAAGAAAAGATGGTATGAGAACCAAATGTGAGGGACCTCAATGGTTGCCTCCGGTTATTTTAAAATTTAAAAATTGATCCAAAGGATGTTAATTTTTTGCAGAATTCGCTGTCGCCTTAGCCTTGTTCTTTTGACCTGGTAGTTTTTCGAGTCGGTACTAGATATAGTCTTCACAAAATTCATAATGGGAGAGTCTTTGTCGATGTATATAACGTTTCATTAATAGCTAGGTTACCGATCATTGATTTTTAATATATTTGGGACAATTTAGGAGTGATTTTAATTGACAATAAGATGTGAAAAAGTAAACTTTGTGGGGTTAATCATCTGCAACGTAGACCTGGTACAATACTTGTTAGGACGTACTAATAGAAAAGAAAAGAAGAAGCAAGGGATATGTCAAAAATGACATTGTTATATGGAGACTTATGAGCTCACTAAAGGTATGACCCTTAATAGAGCAACATTACAAGATTTTCAAGTATTTGTAGATCTACTCGAACAACATTTTTTTAAGGGAAAAGTTTATATAAGGTTGCAACCGTAAAATATAGAACTACGGATGCATCTCAAAATCCCATCGGAAAGAGTTGATTTAATATTGAAAAACCCTCTAATTGATCATCTCGACATCGAGATGAATGACTATGACTCAAAAAAGGATTTTATGTCCTAGAAATGTTGCATCTTATAACACATTATCTAGACTGTCCATTTTCAAGATTTTCATTTATTTATAGATCTACTTGATTTTAATCATTTTTGGAGTTTAAAGTTTTATAATTAGATATGAAAATAGATTTTGAAATAATCTTAAGAATATTTTACATCAAAATTATATATTATGATAAAATTTGAAGGTGCAATTTAAATGGATGGTTTAATGGAAAACACACCATGTTTTTTTAGTCTTCAATTCTTATTATTAGAGATGAAAACATAAGATAAGAGAAATTCGTGATACCGAAACAACATATTTTGGGCCTCCCCCTTAAATTCTCAGCCTCGTACAAAACACACAGTTGGGAAGATTCAGTTTTGTAATGTCCAAAAGAAAGTATCTTGGTTGGATGTTTTCGTCATTTTCCAATATTCATGATAAGGAAGGGAAATATATTTGAATGGAACCGCGCCGTTCACATAGCCGTGGTAAGAAGGCGTTCATACCCGCTTCCTTCCTCTCTCTCTCTATCTCTAGAAATGCAGGGCGTTTGGTTCCTCTCTCTCTCTCTCTCTAGAATGCGAGGTCGTTCGTTCCTCTCTCTCTCTCTCTAAATGCAGGTCGTTGGTTCCTCTCTCTCTCTCTCTAAAAATGCAGGGCGTTTGGTTCCTCTCTCTCTCTTCCCTCGTAAAATCCCCTTGAGCAAAATCACATGCGACATCCACGTCAGCCACCCTCGCGCTGCCTGAACCCACCTGCAACCAAAGACTTTCTCTATCTCCTCCTACCTAATTCACCCCTCCTCTCTCTCTCTCTCCTCATGCCGCCAACACAGTCATAGAGCCCCAATTTAAACTTCTCTCGCCCTCTCTCTCTCGCTCTCTCTCTCTCTCTACTTGTGTGTCGCAAAAAATGGTGAGAGAATTGGATTACTACAACGTTCTGGAAGTTTCTCCCTCTGCAACAGAGGCCGAGATCAAGAAAGCTTATTATTTAAAGGTGATTCCCCTATAACTCTTACCAGTCTTATTAGTTCTGGTTTTAGAATTTGAAAGTTCTTGACTTTTTTTTGTTGTGTGAGTTATTGCTTCGGGGTCCAAATTCCAGCTTTGAGCTTTCTGGGACTTGGTTTTCTGTTTTTTATTTTGAAATAATCAGAGACAATTTGAAGGGCAACCATGTGGGTTTTACTCGTGGTGTGTAGTTAAGAGACTTGATGCAACAAATTCGATACCTGTTTATTTTGAATTTCTGATATTCTCCATTGCTATTCATTATATTTGTTTTGAGTTTCCATAAGTGCTGTTTATGTTACTGTTATATTCTCTTTTTACGTGTTATGGCGGTAAGTATCTCTACTGTTTATACCTTTATAATTAAGATTTTGATCAATTAAGAGAAGGCAATTACTTCAAATTGCACAAAAGAATCCCTAAGTACAGTTAAGTTTCTAAGATTGAGAAGCATGCATTCACTGCATTTGGCCGAGAACTGTTGAGCTTCAAGACTTCAGGGATAGTGTAGCAAAATTTCCATGATGGAAATGGATATTGGTGGTTTGTTTCTAATAGCACGATTACCTTTGAAGTATACCATGCAATCATGATTTTCAAATGATTAATTGTTTGAAGTTTGCTGCTTAGATGGATGAGCATCCCACAATGGGGAATGAATACTGTTGATTCGTTTTTAATAGCACGGTCACCGTTTAAATGTTCAATGCAAGCATAAATTTCAAATGATTAATTGTGTAAAGTTTATAAAGTTTGTTGCTTAGATGATGAACATGAATCTGGCTTAGTAATTGAAATCTAAAATGTCAAGAATGCAGGCAAGGCAGGTTCACCCTGATAAAAATCCAAATGACCCACAAGCAGCTACGAAGTTCCAGGCAAGTTTTTCTTGTGTTTCCAACTAGCAGTGGATAAGAGAAAACATGCTTCTTATATAAATATTTCTGGTCAGTTCCATATTAGATGCAGTATATTTGTATTACATTTCTGGCTTGTATGTATACATGCTATCATCAAGTTAGGGAAGACTATAATTTATTAGTCTGCCAATCCTACTAGTTCCTAAATTCCAAAATATATGTGAATGGTATTCATCTCTCTTGTTTTAGTTAATAGAAATTGGAAGCCTCATTTCTTCTGAAATCTAATCTAGTGCCCTCTCGTTGAAGCTTCGTTCTAGGAAAGCTTTAATATTGATATGCATTTTGACATGTGTACGTGCAAGAGCGAGAGAGTCATTTGGGCTTTGTTTTGTTTTTGAGAAATGTTGAATCCAGCAAAACTAATTATTGTTACGGATATTCCCTATGGGTTTTCTCTAGTATCTGTCTTAGGAGGATCGTTCATTTATGATCCTGATACTTCTTGTGAGCCTATTTCATCGATTGCAGTCTCATCATCTCCATCTATTTCCATTCTGGAACATCCAGTTAATAGAATGTAATTTGAGAATCTATCATCTATGCGATCTTTTATTAAATTGCTTGACTAGAGGGGGGTGCTTTCATGTGATGCATTTCCTGCCAAGTGCTTGGTGTTTCTTTCACATGCTGTTGAGCAATCATAATTCTGATCCTTTTATGGTTGTCATCCTCCTTCTCAATAGGCATGTTTTGTGATGCTTTTATAATGTTTCTCTCAACAAAGAGCGGAAATGGATGCCTATCTTATCACTAGCAATTAGGAGCAATGATGGTTATTGATGGGTGTGCAAACTTAAACTACATGATTAATGGGGTTTTTGAATGCTACAAATTCCACTTAATGGGATGAACAGTCACACAGCATTGATTATGAGGAAAGGTTGAATTCCACATTCAAAGCATGTACTCTCAGCACAATCCTGTCCCTTACAGACTTGAATTGCTTTTCTACATGTGACTTTGTAAAGATTCTAATATAGCCCGTTTAGAAGGATTACAAGATCTGGCTGATTCTCTTTGTGTGTGAGGCTACATAGAGCTACTCATCGGCTTGAGCTTGCACAAAGAGCTTCCTTGGGTTTATTCAATTGTGGTTCTCTCCTTAGATTGGTCTTCCATGAATTTGAGGCTCTTTTATTCTAATTGAATTAATTTGGGGGTGTGGGTCTTCCTTTTTAGGATCCCCTTCAACTACACAATTATGCCCATGCTATTCCACTCATCAGACTGAAGAAAGAGCCCATAATATGCATCCTTGAATCTGATAACACTGTTTAGCTTGGGATTATTATCCACCATCCTTTATCATTTACTTGCAACTATTTGACATCACGTCATCTATATGTGCTTAATTTTAGACAGAAACTTTGTTTAGGTGATTTGGTTTTCACTCAATTATCCCCATTCATTCCATATTATGAACTTTCAGGAATTGGGAGAGGCTTATCAAATCCTTAGTGATCCTGCAAAACGAGATGCCTATGACACATTGGGGAAAGCAAGTATATCAAAGTAATGTTCATTCACTAAAGCAAATGAGTTTATTTCTCTAGTTTAAAGATAGTCAGCCATAAATCTTTAGATTGCCATTCTGCTTCATTATTTCTTATTTCTGTGTGATTTGTGATGAAAATTTTATGTGCCATATGCAGCAATGTGTCACAAAGTTCCATGATATGAGTTAAAGAGCATCGATAAAAAATGGGACCTAAAAGTTGAATAATGAATAAAGTTGTGGATTCTCTGTCTGATTGAGATGGTCTTACAACTGTGGCACTGTTCTAAAAGCATGTTTAAGGGTGTAGTCCAAATCAGTTTATCATAATCTATCAAGAAAATGATTTGAGCATTTTGTCCTATATCTATATGTAGGAAGTCCTTTGTCAACTATGTCATATGTTCTACTTTGAAACAGAGAAAACCTTAAGACCTAAATCTTTGAGGAGAAATGTCAATAACTAACTTGTTTAGTACATGAGAACATAAGCCTAGATTTAGGGAATCTATGATGCCACAACATGATGATGATGATACGACCTACATTTAGGGTATCTATGATGCCACAAGATGATGATGATGATGCCACAAGATCCTTAGATATGGAGAAAAAAATAGCAATTTGCAATAGTAGGGAGATTATATCCAACATGACAGAATAAGAGTACCGTGATTCCACAAATTCACATGGTGATAAAGAAGAACATAGATCCACCTTGTAGCCTAGCGGAGTGTAGCACTTGGTCTTGCATCCTAAATTGTGGGTGCAGTCTAAAAAGTAAAAAAACAAGCATTTAGAAAACTCACTGGTCCATGAGATTGTAAACAACTTTTTTCTTATATATTTTTTCTTAAATTCCTTTGTGTTGGTTTTAACACTTGGAAACACTTCATACGGGCATTTATATTAATGAGGTATGTATCATTTAGTGGCCCTTCAGCTTGCAGACAATGTCATTTCTTACTTTAGACTGTTTATTTTTATGTGAAAGGTATTTCACATATCAACTGTAGGCCTTGCTGCATTTGTCGTTCATCCTCATGATCACATATGCCAATATGCTTCGTGCCTCTAGTATAATTGGAATTAGACTTGTATAACTTGTAGTATCTTCTCTGTATCGTACTTGTTTCTAACCTATTGGATTTTCAGGGAGGGCATGCTTGATCCAGCAACTATATTTACCATGCTTTTTGGAAATGAGTTGTTTGAGGATTATATTGGACAGTTTGCAATGGCGTCAATGGCATCATGTGATATTTCTAATGAAGAGGAAGGTTTGAACTTCAAGAAATTGCAAGAGCAGATGAAGGTATTTAATAGTTTCTATTTATTTGTTACAGTACATCTTTCAAGTTACCGCTTGTTTATGCTATAGAATAAGAGGAACTAATCCAATTGGTTGTTTTCCTTCTTCATTTTCCTTTTCTTCTACCACAACTGGAAGACTATTAACACATTACATGGCTCATGTGCTCATTTAGGTCGTCATCTTGGTTTTACAGGCCCTCCTTATGAGTACTCAGGCACTGTATAGGAATGTGGCATTCCAATTAGAAAACTAAACAACTGATAGATTGTGGTTTATGGTTACGGGTTCTAATTTTATGTTTTTACTCCCTAACATATTTTGTCTTATGTTTAACGGGGCTAGTATTTCCACCAATTCTGAGATATTGCCACCAAAAAACAGGGGTGGTAGTTCTAGTCATGTCCTTTTTTGAGAATGCTACACACTGTTTTGGGTGACCATTATCACAAATGTGGGTGTCATAATTAGCCTCTTTGTTTAATTGAATTTCATCCTGCATTGTGTTTTTCAGTAAATGTAGTGATCGTATTATCAGAGCACATATCAAATACCTTGCAGTTGTCGTTACTTGCAATGTTGTTTCTTATGTTTGGCAGAAGTTTGAGATTGCATCAAAATCTGGATAATTTTTAAATGAGTCTTACCTTGTTAATTCAGTTACGCTAACTAATGAAAACACGCATGGCCATATGTATTTGCAAGTAAGCATGCAGGGATGCATGTGCATGCATCTGTTGTCTTGGTACTTTGACAGACCCACAAGCTTAGCTATAGTCGTTTTTTCTTTGACATCACATTTTTATGAATAAAATAAGTTTATCAATTGATACCCCAACATCTAATGGTTTTCAGGGAAACCAAGAAAGCTGATTTCGTTAAGTTTGAAAAAATTAAGTTTAAATGAGTATCATTACTTTTCAGGTTAGCATCATAACCTCCTGTGCTGCATGGTTTGCTTTGTTTTCTTCCCTGAGCGCTGACTGTTAATATTCTTCATATCATCCAGGTTATTCAAAGTGAAAGGGAGGAAAAACTTGCTCGAATATTAAAAGACATCCTCAGTCAGTATGTGAGAGGTGATTCTGAAGCTTTTATCATTCATGCTGAATCTGAGGTTAAAAGACTGATCAATGCAGGTAATGTTGTTATTGGATGCTACCTGCTAGGAATTTGAGAAACTTTTAGTTTTTCTTTCAATAATGAGAAATTCTTGTGAAGCTATGCTTCATCTTTTTTCATTATTCATGATCGACCATAAAGTGTTGCCCTTGTGGCTCGTAATAGTGATTTTCTTGGCTGGCAACATTGCAAGTACAATGGATAAGCCAGAGTATTATGTGCACAGTTCTTTATTTGAAGAGAATGGGGCTTTGGTCCTGGTGGTAGTACCACCTGAGTCCAAGTTAAAGGTTATGGCCATCATTCTCACTAACCCTTTCCAAAAATTAACTTTTTCCAAAATAGGTAGGGGCTTGCAATCCCCACTGATCTACCCCAAAAAAAAAATAAAAAAAAAAAGTTCTACATTTGAAGTAAATTAACAGTTTGCTGATTGAGATATGAGAACTGCATGAAAATTGGATTTCTACTCTTGTTTATCACAAATGAAATTTTCTGCGATAGGTAAGTATGTATGAATGAAACATATGCAGATACTTGTATATTGTCATTATATTGTTTGTACATGTTACTATTTGAATACCGTTGGTAAATAATACTAGGATACTTTCACTACACTATATAATGATACAAACCAGAAAGAGAGAAGAAGAAGAACAAATCCAATGGGCTATCTTGTTAACTAAATTCAAAGTCTATCATTTTGTTTTTAGACAACCATAGAAGACTTCTTATAGACTGCAAACCTAAGTCTAGATCTTCTATAGACCCCTCTCCAAGTCCCCATACATTGGAAGATGAAAAGTTACCTAAAACTCAGTGTCTACCAAAATCAGATTCTACATAGGAAATATGCAAAACTGAACCAGACCCCAAAAAAAAAAATTTCTTTCTTCCTAGACTACCCCTACTAATATTTTGACAATTTACACCTAAAATTGCAGTACAAAAAGAATAAAAAAGACTTCATTTTTGTAGTATTAAACTCCATCATTCACCCCCATAGAAAGGAACATGATCATAGTGAGTTTTCTTTAGCAGACAACCACAACATATCCTCATCTATTTTTCTCAACTCAGCTTTAGAATCTTGTTAACTTTCAGTATGGGTAATCCTTCCTATTGAACTAGACATTGCTGATAAGTACCACCTCGTGTTGAGATAGTCTGAACATTGAGGATTTGGATTACTGATGTAACCTAAGATCAGTCACACAATAGTCTCTGATTACATGACCGAGAAACATGCTTGGAGAGAACTACAGATCTGAATGAGGCTAAAAATCTGTATTTTCAGCAATCTTCCATCAGAACTCCCTTATAATTCAAACAAATCTAGCAGCTTTATTTAAGATCTGGGTGGTGAGATTCTAAATCTAGGAAGGACTAATGTCTGCCTTTGGCAAAATCAGCCAAATAGATTGGTTCCTGCTCAAATCCAAAATAAAAGAAGAGGGTGTAGAATAACTTTAAATTAATTCCGGAAAATGTTCCAAATTAGATCTAGGGTTTTTGAGGTTGTTTGAATCTAGGAAATCAGGTTTTGTTGATTGGCTTCCACATCCCCGAACATACTTATATATATCCCTGTTCTCCCAACAGCTCAAGACAATCTGAGGTTATTCTCTTTGGGGGACCATGTTGCCTCATCACATCTTTGAAGTGGAAATTGGACACATGGGTAGCATCAGTGTTCTTGCATGCAATAAAGTGTGCCATTTTTCAAAAGTCTATCAGCAACAACCATAATGGTATCCACACCTCTTTTTGTACTTGGAAGCCCCATTACAATGTCCATTTAAACATCAAGTTCAGATAGGAAGTGGAGCGTAAAGCCAGTTCTAGACCAATTGACGTACTTGATGACATCGTACCTTTGTCTAGGCCGAAGTAGTGTTCCTCCACCAAGACCAAGGGTTTATGATGTCCAAAATGATGTTCCATTGTTCCTGCATGCAACTTATGAATGATGCTGCCTCATAAAGACCTCTCAAGAATACTGTGATGTGTCTCCATGAATAAAAAGCCATGTCACAACAAATGTCCATCTTTTCTATGACTATCTTATGGAAACAAACCATACATAACTGCAAAATATGGGTCCTCAGAATATAATTCTTTGAGGCATTCAAAACCTATGATCTCCGAATATAAGATAGCAGAAAATCTCTTCTACTAAGTGCATCAACGACCTTTTTTGAAAACCAGCCTTTTTGTTCATATGTCAAAATCAATGTTTTAAAAAGCGGTCCGCCTGGCGCCTAGGCGGCCTGAACAAAAAATCCTCACGCCTAGACCCAGATGGACCTACACGTGCGGTTGTAACTACGCGGGCACCCAGGCGGGCTAGAGGGGCACCTAGCGCCCAGTTTTGGGCATGCGCCCAGGGCCGTAAGGCCTTTTTCGATTTTTTAAATTGCCCAAAAGGGCAAAATGAGTAATTTTGACCCCCAAGGTTGTATAAAAACGTTATGGGTTTTATTTTTAACCCCCAAACTGAAAAAAAAAAAGAAACCCTCAATCTCTAAACTTATTTTTGAGAATCTAAAGTAATTTCTGATAATCGAAAGTATTTTTTGTGGATTGAAAAAATTTTCTTTTCTCATTGAAATTCATTTTTTGCCTTCTTGGACTATTTTGTTGTGTGGTTTAATGGTTTTTTATAGTTTTGGAAGTAAGTTTGTTGAAGACTTGGAGAGTTGGAGACTTGGATGTTATTATGGTTTTTTTATGGATATGGAATATGGAGAATATGAGAGTTGGAGACCTTACAATAGCCTATTAGACTTTTAAATATCTTGCATGGTTTGAAATTTGAATAAGTTTATTCTCAACTTGAGATATGTGATATGTTTGTATATAAAAACGTATGTTGTGAACTTGCGATATTTTCAAATGGAATAAATTATAAACTTTGACACAAATATATGTATATATGTGCATTTGGATAGCAATTATATCAAAAAAATGCTAAGAATTTACACTACAGGGCGTTCGAGGTTCTGGGCGTTGGGCGCCAGGCAGGCCACCTAGGGGCCGCCTAGTGTTTTTTGAAACCTTGGTAAAAATGAACTCTTGCAAGGATGGTACACATTCTTCATGTCAGTTTTTCAACTTCTTTTGGCTCTTAATGATTTTAAAGTACCTCATGGTAAGAAATTAAGAAAAACTCTCATTGTGCTCTACATTATAGGTTGAGTAATGATGCTGCATCACCTAGTTTCTCACTAAGTTATGCAATAGGCCTACTGTCAGAACCCCTGCTGGCTGCATGCGTGTTGGTCAAGGATGAGCTCGTAAACCTCCCTTGATGCAACGCCCAATCGGCTTGAGGCCTCACCTAGCCCTGATAATAGCCTTAGGCATGACTCAACAAGCCTCACGCACCAGCATGGTGCTCGGGCAACCCCATGCATGCATAGCGCACAATTGTGCCACCTGGAAACCGGGAACGTGCTCTCTTGGATTCGAAGTTCTTTAGGGATACACTTCTTATTGAGGGGATGGTGGAAGCCTTGAGCCAACTGGCGGATAGCAGTGGACAAGGCCTATGCACAGCAGCATGGTGGGCCGGTGCATGAGCATGAGCACACCACAGCTTGGCACAAATCACTTGGGAGCTGAGAATGGGTTTTAAGGCACCTGGGCTGGGCAAGCGCTAGGTTCGAAATTCAAACCAGCCAAGAGGTGGGCGACATTGGTGTAACGGCCAAGACATGGGCATAATGGCAAGGACGTGGGCCACATAAATAAAGGTGGCGGTTACGGCGCAAAGGCGTGCTGACCCATTAGAAGGCCTCACCTTAGGACGTGGCCTGTGGACGACGGCCTCATGCGTAATTACTCAGGACGTGGGCAGCCTGTCTGCCTGGCAGCGGCCCACAAGCAGGCATTAAGCTGTGGCTGGCCACCACATGTACAAATTTGAATTTGCAAAACGATTGTAAAGAGGGGCTATATAAACCCCTAGCCCAAACCCTTGAGGGCGCATCTGTGGCATCATACATTGTAAGTGTACAGCTTAATAAAGAGGCTATGTCCCTTGAATCCCTTAGCCTTGTGTTGGTCTGAGTGCGTGTCTGTGCAAGTCCCTTTACTCAGTGTGTTGGTTGGGCTGAACTTAACCCTCAGCAGCTTGGCTAAGCGTTAAGGATGCACGGAGCTAAAGAAAAGAATTAGGCCCTGTGACAGTTGGTATTAGAGGCAGGTTCCACAATTAGCTCGAAGCAATGGCCCCAAATGTGAGCAACTGTGTTAGTCTGATTGATGAAGGACAAGATGAATTTGTTGCTCGACTGGCAACCTCGGAGGAGAGAGCCCAGACCCTAAGCACCAGACTTGATGAGCTAATGGCTTCACAAGAGGAGCACGTTGGCAACTTGGTAACCCTGTTGGGGGACCTTGGGGCTGAGGTTGCTTCTTGACCGATGTCTTTAACAAAAACCTCAAGACGTTGAATGACAAGTTGAGCCTAGTCAAGAGGGCTTTCAGCAACTCTTCTGGCATATTTGAGGAACCGTGTCAAAGGTGCCTGAGCCTAAGCCTTTTGGCGGGGCTAGAGTCGTGAAAGAGTTGGAAATAATACTTCACTACTGTTAGTGCCTGCGAGGAGGACTGCGTAAACTGTAGCCTCGATGTACCTCACTGGAGATGCTATACTCTGGTGGAGGACTCGCATGACCGATGGGTTGAGGCCTCCTATTGTTGGTTGGGAGGACCTCAAGAGAGAGCTCAAGGAGCAGTTCCTGCCAGGGAACACTGGGTGGACGGCTAGAGAGACCCTACTTAAGCTCAAGCACACTGCCACAGTGAGTGCGTATGTCAAGCAATTCTCGAGCTTGATGCTGGACATTCGAAACATGTCTGAAAGATGACAAGCTCTTCAACTTTATGGCTGGGCTGCAGCTTTGGGCCAAAGCCGAGTTGAGGAGGCAGGGAGTAAAGGATCTCCCAGCAGCTGTGACTGCTGCTGAGTCCCTAGTGGACTACAAACTCAATGCCTCGTCAGAGGGTTCCTGACAAGGCAAATGAAACGGAAATGGAAAGAGTAATGGTGACCCCAAGCAGCAAGGGGGCGGACAAGCAGGTGGGCGACCCAAGGGGGAGTCTTCTAGCAAAACGGGTGCTAAGAAGGACTTATCCGCGTGCTTCATCTGTAAAGGTCCACATTGGGCCATAAACTCCCCTCAAAAAGCGGTCCCTCAGTATGGTATAGATAATGGAGGAAGATGAAGAGGAGGTCGTGAGAGTGACTCCCCTTCAACTTCACACTATACTGTACTTCCTCTTAATTTTGTTGACAAGTTCTAACATGTTCCTCTTGATTTAGTTCATAGTGAACCTTGGATTCTTACTACAGTTGCCTCTTTATCTGGGCCTCAGTTTTATGTTATATTTGTATATGATTTCACTGTATATTTGGATATACTTTCTAAAGTACAAGTTAAATGCATTTGGTTGCTTTTGAGTTTTGACATTTCCATGCCTATGCTGAAGGTCAATTTTTTCACATGATTATGGTTTTTAAATCTGATGTGGTTAATGAGTACTCTTCCTGTATCACTTTGGAATACTCAAAAAGGATAATGACATTCACCATCAACATTCTGTCCATATATCCTCATACAAAATGGTGTTTAACATCAACAATGCATGCTAATAACCTTCCTCATGTTCTTTTGCTAGAAGCCTTTTCAACTGCAGCTTCTCATAAATGGAATATCAAGCTCTAACAAATGTAATGTCTTTGCCATTATTTGGTCTAACATGAACATTTTCACAGCTTTTGGCCTTGAGATGCTGCATACAATTGGCTATATATATGTCAGACAGGCTGCGAAGGAACTTGGAAAGAAGGCCATTTACCTTGGTTTGCCCTTTTTGGCTGAATGGTTTAGAAACAAGGGGCACAGCTTGAAGTCACAGGTCACAGCAGCAAGTGGTACGTCTACTTTACATATTGACCTTTTGCATGAGAAAATATTTAATTGATGTTGATATTTTTGGTGTATTTGAGTTCGGAACTTTGTTTATCATGTTCATTTGGTTTAATGTAGTTTTTTATTAAAAATAAATAGAAAATGATGTAGAATGATATATTAGAAAATCTCATCTACCCATGTAATATAATCAGTTGACATTTAGGTTTGCTTAAGCTATTCACCCATCACATGGAATTCTTATTTGCATTTGTGAAATTAATAAAGTAAACAACAACCACAACCTCATCCTAATATTGCAATAGAATTTATTTTTAATTCCATCTTGGAAATTTAAGAAGTCTTTCTGCCAGTAAAGAACTTAATTGATAGGATAAGCATTGTAATTAGGTATTGGTAATGATAAAAAGTTAAGCCAAAATTAAGTTCATTTCAGTTCTAAAATTTTTCTTTTTAGCAGCAACATCCTAGGCAAGAAATTACGTAGTTGATAACATTTTTCTAGATCTTCGAAGTTGTTAAGAGTTTATAGATGATAAATTAGTCTTTTTCTATGCTTATCTTTTATCTCTTTAATCTTGTATTTTGAAATATGGCAAGCAGAACTGATGTGCTTATAAGTTTCTGGAACCTTCCATTTATATTCCATTAGAGCTAAATAATGTCTTTGAAGAATGCAATTTGTTTTCCTTGTATTTTTTATTTTAGGTGCTTTTGCTTTATTCAAATTACAAGAGGACATAAAAAGACATCTTGGTGCTGAAAAGGAATATAGCGAAGATGATATTGAAACTTTTCTTTTGTCCAAGAAGGGTGTGATGATTAGTTCACTCTGGAAGCTGAACATCATTGACATTGAAGCAACCTTGACGCATGTTTGTGAGATGGTAGGTTTCCAGTGACGTCACTTTTGAATTTTACCACATCACACTCCAATGTAATGTTTAATGGTGAATGATTCACCAATTATCTTTTGAAAATCATAGGTATCTTTCATTCATTCTATTTGTTGATGATAATTTTTTCATTATTGTGTAGCAGGCTCCTGTTTTACGAATTTAGATAATACTCCCTTCGTGTCATAGTCTTCATCCTTTGTGTCAATTTTGTGAACCAGTCTTTCAATAATGGCACCTGCATGAGAAAATGACAAATCACTTGGTCATATATGAATGGCAATTCAATACAGGAATGGAAATAATATTGCTAAGGTGGAAATTGATAAATTTGCTTTCTGTTTCACTTAAACTTAGGAACCATTCTTGCTCTCTTTCATGTTTCTCTCTGAGTAGGATGCGACCATTACTCAATGTATTTCATTTCTTGTTTGTATTTATGTTATTGGAACTGAGTATGCCATCAAACTTGTGAGACCACCGGTCCATTCCAGATGAGTAGCCGACTGGTTCATAGGTCAAAATGGTTTCAAACTAGAACAAAAAATAAAAAATATTAAAAATTTTGGTCAAAACCTGTCCAAACTGGCCAGTTCACATCGGTTTGACTGATCTAAACCAGCTGGTTTTGACTGATATCAGACCAGGTTCTCTTTGGTTCAATACCATTTCAGTGCTCCCCCAGGTTTGGGACCCGGGGCACCAACTCGCCAGTTCCTGGTCTGAGCCGGCTTGTTCAGTCCCCCCTTAATTTCATTGGTTTGTATGTCATTCTATTATGTGATTTTACAATGGTCTAGGATGAAAAACAGGGGAAAGCGAATTGGCTTGTCAGATTTCCTAATATAAATTTTCATAATTCATGTCATACTATCTATTCACATCAAAAATTAAAGCAAAGAAAAATATTTAGGATAAACAGTTAAATTTTAATTACATGGACCAAGTTACTCATTTTTAAGGCATTCCTGTTTTTATTCTTTATCTCTGACAGTTTTGGTCACCCTCAACATTTTTGCAGTTTCACAGGATAGTCATTTCAACTTCTTTGTTTACCTTGTGAGTTTTATTCATGTTAATTGTTTGGATGATATTTGCAATGTCAATACTTTGGTAAATGAGGAGATTTATGTGGCACAATGATATTTGCTATGTCAATACTTTCGCAATATATTGTGATTTTGTCTTCCATCCTTTCTACAGTTCTCTTCTCCGTGAATATTTTTCATATAACTGAGGAAGTTCATTGTAAATCAAAGGTATTGCAAGACAATTCCATACCAAAGGAAGAATCAAGAGCACGGGCAAAGGCTCTGAAGATCTGGGGAAAGATATTTCAAGTAAGTCCTAATCAAATCTCTTCAATGTTTGACTTTCTAATTAATATAAGCTGTGCAAAGTATGCAGGTAAAGCAGTAGCATCTTAAGCACTTTTATTTTTCTTTGATCTTGATTCTCTGTTTAAGATTGGATATACAGAATGTGCCTGTATACGTAAACCAACACAAATAAAACTGATTGCGAGGTATTTTTTTCCCTAAAGTGAGAATGATTTTGGATTTTAATGTGAAACTTAGTTCAATTCCTGTAGGTTCTCGCATAAAATAGTAATGTATATCATTGTAAAATGGGAGAAAGAACTGTGGTGATCTAGTTCAGAAAGTGGTGTTATAATGTCTACCGCTTAGAAGAGTCTCATGAAATTGCATGGTGGTTATTACTACTTCAATCAGGACTTTATATTGAACGGAACAGCATAATTTTGATCCAGTCAATGAAATCCTTTTTTAATGTCCGTGCATTTCTGTTATTATTTGTCGCATCAGTGGCATCTTTTTGATAGTTTGCAAATTGCTGGCAGAGTGCATCACTTTCAAACAGAAATATAGTCTCAAATGATGAGGGAAGAATTAAGTATGATGGACAAGATTTTACAACCGATCAGACACCATCAAGGACACCACCAAGGATGGGAACTAGTTCATCCGGACAAAATTCACCTGTAAGGGAAATGCATGAAAGGCATAAACCTGTCTATTTTTGCCAATTGTCGCAGCTGCTTCTATAACTAACTTTTACTTTTCACATTTTTCATTACATGAGGCATATTTTTTTTAGAGCTCCATTTTGAAAATGGCTTTTGATAGAACTGATAATGCCTTAGTTAATTCTACATGCGTTAATGAATAACTACAGGTGCCTAATAATGTACCAGTCTTATCTTTCTTGTAAGTAACTATCAATTGATGTTGGTAACGACTTATTTCATGAATCGAACATGCATTGAGGAATACCTATTGTCATCTAATAGTGTTCTAGTCTATCTTTTCTTAAGAGCCACTGCATTCTCTAGCTCCTTCAGATACTTTTTTATTTTCCTGATTAATTTTTCCTGTGCTTTTAGTACTTCGAATTTGACAATACAAGCAAATCTCCTGGATATGCAAGTCCTTACCAAGATGGATTGGACTTCTTCAGCAGAAGCCCGGGGGAGTTTCAGGGCAAACAAACTCCTGAGGCTTCACCAAAGCCTTCATCCCCCTCAATTTTCCCTCCTATTCAGGTAATCAATAGACCTGAAGCGCATGCAATATATTTCTACTAAAATGTAAAATTAGTTTGAATCTCTAGAAAATGTGGTATGTATTTTGTCAATGTATGTCTCTTTGAGTTCATGGCTGGAACTTTTGTGCTTCTATTGGTTACAGAAACTAGGAAAAACTCTTGGCTGCTTTTGTGGATCAGCTAGCAAGCTTGATGAGAGGACATTGTCATTTGAGTATGATAGAAGATGGATGGGACAAAAGTGAAGTTTGCATCTTCTTCCCATTTGGTTTGATGTGTAATATAGTTCTCAGACGAAGTTGCTTTGAATCTACCGTTTTTGTAGTCATATCAATTTTCTCCTGATATATTCCACGTGTTTCAAATCTGGTCTTGAAAGATGTAAGATCAAGTATTATTGTTTAAATTGTAATAGGGCAATGGTGCTTGCTTATTTGTAAATGTACATTGTTGCCAGTGTAATGAAAATTTTGGGACATCAATATCTGTATATTTATCTAGCATATGCATCTTTTTAATCAGATTTCAGATTTCCCATAAACAATGTTTCTCAAAACTGCATTCTGCATACAAGATAAACTCAGGTCTGTTTTCCTGATTTGATGAATTTTATCATTTATTCATAACTCATCAAAAAGTGCCATGAAACCGATTGCAATTGTTACAGGATTGCTTGAGCTTTAGAAAGAGTTTCTTTCATAAACTCAAGCCAGCAACAGATCTTCAACCAGAATATTTATTCTTCTTGGTATCTGATTGGATGTTTCACTTTACAAACTATCGGAGCATTGTGAAGAAAAGCCAGACTTGGGCGAACCTGAAGCGCTTGCAAGTGGAAAGCATTCTCATGTGCTTTGCTTAACATAAAGGTGCTTTAGTGTTCAGGGCCTTTTGCTACTGCAAAATACACTTACCCTTTTTCTTTTGCTTTCACATATTTTATATACCTTTTATATTTTGGAAAATGTTTTGACATGGCCACAGTTCTTTTGAAATAATTAAAGCCTTATCTTAAAACTCATAAAAAATAGTTGTTTTGGTTTAGGAAAACCTTCAAATCAATCATCTCAGCCTTGTTCAATTGGAATTTCAAGCCCTAAAAATAGTGTATGTTATATTATGTTTACGGTCCATTTCACCCTAGAACTAAGTGTTCATGGATCCTCATGATTTGTACCAATTTTTTAGCTTCTAATTTTTTAGTTCTCGAAAATTTATTTGAAGTCATCATAGAGATTCTTGATACAATGTTTTCCAGATGAGGATTTGAGATGAGGTTTTACTTTGTTTTAATAAAGCCTATGCTTTATAGAAACGGCATTATTATATTTTTGATAATTTATTATAGATAATTTGATTATGGATTTCCTGTCCTCTCTGTGTACACGTGTGCACGACTAGACTGAAAACATAGATGCTCAAGTGCTCAAGCCCTCCTTAAATGGTTTAGATTAGATGAGAAGAGAACTGGTTACAATGATTGTATTTTGGTATTTTTATTTATTTTATTTTATTTCTTTTGCGTCTTAGATTTGTATGAGATTTTACGTGTGTCATAATATAAAATAATAAATTGATCAAAATACCTTTAAATATTTTAGAAATATCTTTGTCAATTTATTGCTAAAATTATTCATGGGCATTTGATTGAGAATTACGAATGTCTAAATTTCATCTTAATTTAGTAGAGGGAAGTCAAAATCACCCCTGTTTTAAAAAAAAAAACCTCAAATTTTCTAAAACCTCATTCATATTTTTTATCATCTAATTATCACCGTGGTGTGATTGTCGTGGTTAGCATTGAACTAACCCTGATGGTCTACGTTACCATCATAGTTCTACAAATACCACGGTGGTTCAAATAGTAACTTAACAACACGGTTGTGCTTGAACTGTGAAGACTTAAACCCAACAGAAAAGTGGTTTGAACCCTCTATGACCATCACACTTTTGAACCATGATGAGCTTCACAGACTCAACACTATTGTGAAGGGTATTTTAGTTAAAAAATGCAAACAAATGATAAAAATGGTATGAATGAAATTTTAAAAAATTCGACGTTGTTCTCAATAACCTAAAAAAATAAATATCTTTAATAATCTCCTCTTAGTATATAAAATATTCTAATAAAATCTTATATGTAATTGAATTTGTCCATTTTCTTCCCTTCAAATATGAACATTGACAAGATGTAGAGCTATCATGAACCCTTTTGGAAATGGACTCGTGGCAGAAGAAAGTAGGGTAAAGTTTGCCAAACGTGCCCTCAAAATGCTACTTGTATAGTTTCATTCCCACTAGGTCTGAAAAGGAAAGAGATCAAAGAATTCTCTTAGATGGCCCTTTAGGCTTTTTGTTTCAGGCAGGCTGTATACAATATGCGGTCCAGAGGTATAAAGCATACATCTTAAGGCTGGTCTATTTAAAAATAATTGTAATTAATGATTCAAATATTTTTTTTAATATAATTATTATTTTTAATTTTCAAATTTTATTTATTTATTCATATTCATGATCTCCATGTCAAATATTATATATTCTATAAAAATTAAGATCAATTATATTTAAAAAATGTGGCTGGCCACATGCTAATCGCGTCCTTTGCCAGTGACATCCAGTTTGCATGAATGTAAATAATTTGATCAGTGTGACGGGACTTGGCCCAATTACTAAGTCTCTCTTTCTCTCTCTAACCCTTCTCATTTCCTTGTCTCAATCCCTCTCTATTGTCTCTCTCTAATTTGCAACATAGACCCCTATAAACACCGTCTGTCTCTCTCCGCTTGATGAGATAGAAAGGGATTGACAATTGGAGAGAGAGAGGGGGAAGACTTGTTAAAAGAAAGCCGGCTCCTGGCCAAAAGGAGGCCAAGTGCCTAAGAAGATTGGCTAATACCCCGTCTCCTGTTTTTTCTTTCTTTCTCTTTTTAGTGTTTTTTTATTTATTTTTAAAACTCAAGTGAATAACTCGGCTTGTACCAAGGCCCAGTCCTTGGCCCGAGCCTGAGTTTCAAAACTCTGAATCTGGAACCCAAATCCTTACCAACCATGTCTTGTTATTGTCATTTGTGTACATATTCATGGAAAACATGAAAATGAAAAATCCCACACTCATTGCATTAAGAGTTTAAAAATCTTGATATGCTTCCACAGCGATTCCATGTAATAGCTTCCGTTACGTTGAGCGTAAACTCCGCACTTGAAGTAATGAGAATGGCCTCCTCGATCCATCACCTCCAACTTTTGAACTCCATCTATGAAAACAATAACCTTGTGTGCATCCATATCGTGAATAACGTTGAGCTTGAACCATCTATCATAAATATCTGAATCCAAGACTTGGGATTGGTAATACATGAGCTGACCATTGGAGACTGTGATCGCTAACGTCGTTGCGCCGTGCGCTGCGAGTAGGATTTGCATGATGGCAACGCCTGTTGTCCGATTGGGAACGAAAGCGTGGCCTTCAAATTGCCATACACCCGAGGAATAATCGTATCCCTGCTCAAATAACTTTTAGTGCAGTTGTTAAAAAATGGATATGTAAACCTTTGTATTAAGGGATTGTATACAATGAGACCATCAACTTTTGATACAAGGAAGTCACAATTATTTACAACCATCCGATGTGAAATCTGCTAGCTTGGATGTATCACAAAGCTCAGGAATTCTTTTGAAGCTTGAGCTTGGTCAATGAAATAACTGCATCCATCTAATATCACATCCAGTGGTCAAGATTAATTGTGAATACCTTATACCAAAGACAAATGGTCTTATTATATACTTTTCCTTGTATTAAAATAGGATGCGAGTAGGTGTGATTCAAGCAAAATATTAACTTGCATTGAGAATGTTGTCAAACCAACCGAAGAAAAAATCAATAGAAACCGGTGTCGAAAAATTCGGCGAGCTAACTTGGACTTGCTTGAGTAACTCGGACTCCCCACCCTAGCAAGTCCGAGTAACTTTTTTTATGTTTTCAATCATTTTGGCAGAGATTTGGCAAGTGATTTGGCCATGAATGCTTACTTTTACATTTTCCTTACGTTCAACTACAAATTGATTTTTTCAAAATCCAGTTTTTTACTGTTTTTATTCTCATTTAGATGTGTTCTGCTTAATTTACTTTAAAGTTTTTTTCTATTTTTGTAGTATTCTTTTATTTTTTTTTATTTTTTATCACATTTTGGCTGGCCAGGCTCGGCCTGACTCAAGCCAAGTAATTAAGACTCAGCCACGTTATTAGGCTCAGCCATGGGCCAAGTCCTATCCCTGAGTCGTGGTTTATTCATGATAGAAAGAACCAATCTATCTAATATCAATACTCAACTAAAGATAAAATAATATAGCATAACAAAGGAGATCCCCATCCAAGGAACCAAACCACACACCTTTAATTCAGAAAATCAATTTCACACCCATCTTAATGAATCAAGTTGCAAAATGAAGGGTATGGGTAATGCTTTCATGGGTAGGTTAGCTAATTTTGAACCATGGACATAGTAAGAACCCGACTGCTCTTGCCACCAAGAACTCAAAGACTGGCTTACAGACTTTGTAAGCTCATAGAACTGTCTTTACCAACCCCCGTTATACCATGTATTACACTATTTCTTGCTACCAACTGAGTCTTAATTAAGTCCAAGCTCCGGTGATCAGGTAAATTTGCTCCTTTTAATTTGAAAACTAATATAAAACGGTTCTTTTTCTTGTCTTTGTTTTTATTTAGTAGGCTTCGGAGCATTTTGCGACGATTTGCAAATAGATGAGAGAGAGAAACAGACCTAGTTGGAGCATGGAACACTTCCTAAAGCTATTATCTAATGTACGAGGAAGACACTTGTATCACTCATGTTTAAATCGTTTGTCTATATGAGGCCTAAATATCTGAAGAATACAAATGAGAAACAGATTGCTCATCGATACTAACACTTATACGGATCTCGGTTCGGGGCTTCGTGGGGCTAGTTGGGGTGTGTGGCTTATCGTCGGCGAAGACCCACAATCTATAGACACCACCACAAAAGCTAAAGCGTTGCTCCACTGGTACATCGTAAGGTCTCTGGACATCCAAATTCTGACTTTGTAGAGGAAGTTCAGTGAAGCCATATGTGGAATCAGCAGATTGCACTGCGCTAACTCCAACTCTTAAAGAAGACACCACACAATGAAAAGTTAAAACTAATTTAAACAACCCCTTCTTCTCTATACTCGATGGCAGCTCTGCCATGTTTAGGGATATGGCATTCTCCACCTTGGTGGGTCAACCTTATATACCATATATGTTAAGGACCCAGTTTCTATGCGGCCAAGCCCGTATATATAGAAATGTGGGCCTATTAATAAATTGATTTTTGAGATGGATTTTTGGGCTTGATTAATCTCTAACATGGAGATCGTGATGAAAAAATAAGTAATTTTTAAAATTAGAAATAATAATTCTAATAAGAAAACATTTGTACCGTTAGTTTTCATTATTTTTAGATGGAACACCTACTTGTATCCATCTTTGAGATGGATGCTTTACACTTTTTGGACCACATATGTAATCATGCGGTCCAGCCCGCATGAAACAATTTTCCATATGTTAAATAGGGATACGGTATTCTCCACCTTGGGTGGTGTGAAAATTGTTGAGAGGCTGTTTGGTTCTTATGGGGTAGGTTGATTTCTCGAGGTATGCAATATGATGAGTTTTATTAGCCTTCATTATTAATTTAGTAGGAGCAAATGTAGTCTTCACTCTTCTAATAAAATGAAGTAAAAATGGAAGGAACCTGATCTATATCTGCTTCTTTTTTCTATTATAGATAATCTCATCTAGTCATATTCATATATAAAATGTGAACCCGATCTCCTTTTTTGATTGATTATTTCTCTCATTGTTCATATATAGAATTTGAACCCGAACACCCTTTCTGATTCATTATTTCTATCTTAATGGTCATTGTCTTCTATTTCAGCATATTGATTTTTGCGTATTCTTTTTTTATTTTCTATCTTTTCATGTAAGGATTCTGTCTATTTCTGCACATACGATTTACAAATAAGGCAGCGTTTAGCATTTCAAAATTCAAACCAAGAAACTGTGGAATTTCTTATTTTGGTACTAAACGTTTTTTTATCAACTAAGTTTACTTTTCGAAGAGCAACTGCAATTACAATGATGGAAATCGGGCTTGGGTTTAAGAGGTTAGCCGTTGGCGTCAGCAGTGCTACATCTCAAGTTCAATTCCTGCTATTGTACTACCAAAAAAAAAGAAAACTCAAATACAATGATCTAATAAAAATATCTATAGTAAAATCAAGTAAAGAGCTGTCCTTTAGTATCACACTTAACTAGGTACTGATCCCTTTTTATGTTTCTTTAATCTTAAATATGTCGAACCCTCAGCCTCCCCCAGTGCAAACACTTGTTTGGATGATTTCATGCAAGGATGGTTTGAAATTGAATGATTCACAGATGGACACATGTGGAAAGCAGTCAACCATATTAGGTTTAGTCCCTAATTCTACAAACAATTTAAAGAGCGCACAGCCTGCTCTCAGGGGAACAAACTGTACACTGACCCCCTCGAGCAAAAGAGCTACCTGGGAGCATTTTTCCGGTCTGAAATTTTGGCTTCCAAATTAAAAGATCAATATTCTCCAAAAAAAAAAAAAACAAATTTTTTTTTTTGAGTTTCTAAACACTCAAATCTAACCAATGGTCAACATCCTCTTTTGATTCTTTTTCAGGCATATACAAGGAGATATTTTATTATTATTATTATTATTACTATTATTATTTTTCTTCTTCCCCTTGACGTTGGTTGGAGGTTGAGGGGTTCTAGGTATCAACATAGGATTTTATAGGAGGGAGCAAATTCTGGCTATGCTTCTTAGGACTATATAATATTTTTACATCTTTTTATTAAAGAAAAAGTTTATATAGAGCCCACCTAAAAAATTTCACTGAAAGAGGCTGATTTGATACCCAAATATCTTCAAATTGATCATCTAGATATCAAGATGCATGGACATTAGAAAAAAATGGATTTCAAGTTTTGGAAATAGTGCATCTTATTACGTATTTTGGGACCGTCGATATCAAGATTTGCAAGTTTTCATAGATTTACTTGATCTACACTAGTTTTTAAACTTAAAATTTTATAATTAAATATGAAAATATACTTTAAGGCCATAAAAAAGACTTCCAATATTGAAACCGTATTTCTCGATACTATTTGAAGGTGGGCTCTATACAACCCGCACCCTTTTATTAATATTGGGAGTGGAATCATATTTTTAAGAGTAGTTGTAAACCTTTTTAACAATTCAATACTTGTACCTGCTCGCAAATCACATTGACTAAAGACAAACAATAGTTGTTTAGTAATAATAACAAGGAAATGTATTTCACACTAGAAATTTGGGTTTACCATAGTATGCCCAGCACCTCGAGAGCCATCCGATGTCAACAATAGACGATTGAGGCGCAACTTACCCTCTATAGGTCAATCAGAAAAGCGAAAATGGCACTCCTAAGCCGTTGTTTGATGACATCAGATGTCTGGGAAGGTACTAGCCACGTGTAAAAAACCAAGTGCTTGCATTATATTCAGGGATAAAAAAAAAACTATTTTTTTTTCTTAATATAGAAGTCACAATCATTTTCACTCATTAGATGTCAAATTAAATGGCTTGGGGTAAGTCACAAAGTTCAAGAGATTTTTTTTTTTTTGGAACTTACGACACTCTTACAACCACCTAATTTGGAATTTAAGGGACAAGAATGATTGTGGCCTGTATGTACAAAACATCAAGGAAAATTGTTTGATGCGGGCTGGAACGCATAACTATATATACAGTCCAAAAATGTAAAGCATCTATCTTTAAGATGGATGCAAGTAGGTGTTCCATCTAAAAAAAATGGAAACTAACGGTCCAAATATTTTCTTATTAGAAATATTATTTCAGGTTTTTTTAATTTATTTAGTTTTTGATATTCATGATCTCAATGTTTTAGATTACATGTCCTTAAAAATTAAGTCCAAAATCCATCTCAAAAATAAATTTATTAATAAGCACGCATTTCTAGATATACGGGCTTGACCGCATATAAATCGAGTCCAAACATAAGTGGTCTCTTTGTAAACAATCTCTTATATTCGTAACCTAAATAACAACAATAGGAATTATATTAATAATTTATACATCCCATGCTTTCAGTGATTATAACCATATGCATTTGGAAGGTGAAAGATAGCAGGGTGGATTTAATTGTTAAAAGTGGTTGTCAAATAAAAACTCTGTGATAAGATTAATTCCTCCAAAACCAAAAATAATCATAGGAGTGGTTGGTTAGGACTCATGACATCTTTACCCCTATAACATTGTTACAGGATGCTTGGTCCTAGGTCACTAAAAAATTCGGCTAGTTGTGTAAGTAGCTAAGCTATTTTGTTTTGGGAAACTCTTATTTGCTGAACTACCTCAAAAAAAAGTAAAATAAATAAATAAATAAATTTATAGGTGTCATTTGTATTAGGCTAAGGCCCTAAACAATCAAAGTAAGACACACGTTCAAATGATGTCGAAAGATGTTGTTTCTGATAGTATAAATATTTGTGATGGCCTGAAAATTTATTTTCATCGCTAATTATAAAATTTAAAGCTTCAAAAGCAGTGTAGATCAGATCTATGAACACTTGAAAACTATTGAAAATCGATGGTCCAAAAAATGCGATGCACTATTTCCAAGACTTGAAACCCATTTTTTCTCATGTTTGCATATCATGAAGTCAAAATGATCGATTTGAGGGATTTTGAACATCAAAACAACCTCTTCTAGTGAATTTTTGAGGTAAATCTTAATTTGATTGTTTAAAGCCTCACTCTCATATTAACTTTCTCCATATTTTACTTGTTTTGTTCGATGTGCTTCTTTTACTTTGGGGTAAAGTGGGATTTGGAACACTTCCCTCCATGAAAACTTGGAGCAGTTACAGGTGGAGAGCTTTGACACCATTTTGAGGAAATATGTGAAGGCCTCTCAGAGAAGGTGAAAGCTGCAGTTCAACTATGAATTTGTCTAATATGGGGAGCCACATTGTAAAGGACAAAGTCCTTGCCTTTTTTTCATTAAAACTAACAGCTTCATCTCTTCTGCCAAAAACAAAAAACAAAAAAAGAGAAAGTGAGTAAATAACTAAATACCTAATTTAATAAATAAAATAGGGAAAGTACACCATTTACTTTTGACAAAGGGGATCACATTTATTTCTAACCATCGGTTAAGGGTATGTTTCAATAAAAAAAAAAGTTGAACTTTGTGCATTGTTTTTATTGTCCAAATTTTAAATATAATGACTAAAGATGATGTGACATTTTTGTATAAAAAATAAAAGATCTCATAGTATATATATATATACTCAATAAAATAAGTAAAAAAGATTGTATGGTTGTTTGGAACCAAATTGGTTAGGTCCATTAAGGGTATTTGATGGATCCTAGTACTACCCAATTATGATTCTAGCACTCTAGGATAAAATTCAATTAAAACAAGGGAAAATTATAGATATCCCCATAGGCACATGCCATTCCCAATGTTTTTAGAAAAAATTACGTTTGTGCCACATTTAATATGCTAGATACGGATTGATTCAAATTTATAGAAAATTCATGTGAAGGTCCATTTAATTTTTTTTCGTTTTATTTTTTGGTTTGATGTCGAAAACATCGAACCACTTTTATATTTTATTTTTAATTTTTTTTGAAATATAGGAACCAATCTGAAATTTAAATCCTCTCACCGCCCTGTACTTTGTATTTATTTTTTAAAGTATATAGTCCGGTACTCAAAAGCATCGGACCAAAACTTATAAAAAAAAAACCGCACACCACCAACATTTTTTTAAAAAAAAAAATTCGTTTCCTTGATCTCATGAGCCCACTCTTACTTTTCTGAAATGATTCTATCTCAGCTCTTAGACTTCTCGAAATTTTGTCAAACATTAAACTTTTTCCTTGTACACCAGGGTCTTTATGCTCACGTGGACCACCTAAGACATTAAGTCAGTCGATCCGATATTGTAGACATTTGACCGGTGTTCGTAAAATCGAACCCGAACCGTAAACCGGACATGGCCTAGAAGCGGTTTAACCTACCTAACCAATAAACCGGCTGATTCAACCGCTCTAATCGGGCAAGTCCCGGGCGGCAAAAAAAGTGTAGAAAAAAATAAAAAAATTTAAAAACTACTAAAATATGAAAAACATATAAAGAAGGATTAAAACAAAACATGAAAAAATGGATTTTAACCTAATTTATATTTTTCAATGGCTATTTTTAAAATTTTCTAAAAGAGATGGGAAAATATAAAAGTGAGTATTAATGACCAAAACAATTTATAATCTTTACCATAATGTAAAGAATATTTAAAAATGCATTACAAGTCGAATTCCTTATTCCTGATAATTTATATACATTTTTTTAATTTTTTTTTTTTAAATACCGGTTGATCACCCTAATTGCCCAAAACCAGAACCGGCCACTGGCCGATTCCGATCTAACCGAGCGGTTAGCAGTTAGATCGGATGATTTTGTGAACAATGCATTTGACTACCCTATCATGTGCATTAAAAATTTATGAGGGATGGCCGGTCCAATATTTTCAATATCCCTACACTTCAAAACCATAAATAAATATATAAATGAATAAACAATCCAATATTTGGAACAATTTGGGGCAAAATAGAAAAAAGAAGAGGGGCATGGGGTTTGGGCTTTACGAAAACAAAATAAATCCCCACTTTGAATTCTAGTCCAGAAAGAATTTTGGGCTTCAAAAATCTCTATGATGGCTCTAAAATCAATTTCCAATACCGATTATGAAATTTGAAGTTCAAAAAATGGTGTAGATTTTGCAAATCCATGAACACTTATTTTAGGGCGAAATGTACAATCTAGATAATATGTTACATTACACACTATTTTTAGATTTTGAAATCTTATTTTTTTCACAACCATAATGGTCGAGATGATCGATTTGAAGGTCATCTAATGCCAGAAATTGCAATTTTTGGTGGATTTTGAGGTTAGATTTTGCATATTTTGATAGAGCAACAGCCATATCAAATCATTTTCATTTAAAGAAAAACGTCAGTCCGAAGTTCAAATATCGGACCTTGTAATAGCATGTAATAGTTCCACAAAATTGTAATCAATCCATAGTTAAGTATTTTAATACAGTATGGACATAATTTTTCCTACTTTTTAAACTACACTACTAATCTCCACTATTATTTATTTTTGCATTCACTCCCCCTCCCCCCCCCCCCCCCCCCGCCCCCACCAAGAAAACAAGCCACGTTCTTTTACTCATTTCCCGCGATCAAAGCCAATCCAACATGTTGTGCATGGAAGTTCTAAACCCTACGGGTTGATTTTTGACAAATAAAGTATGAGAAATAAAGTATGAAACACATACAACAAAAACACAAAGATTCACGTGGTTCACTCCAAAATGGCTGCATCCACGGGTACGGTAAACATAAATTCACTATACTAATGAAAGTCACATCAAAGATTTTGGAACAAACCTCGACAAAAATACAGTCAAGCAAATTTTTTTAAACCCGCTCTCCCAAACGGTACCATGCAGATCTCTCATCTCTATTTCATAACTAGACCACTGTCTAACTAGACCACTGTCTAGGAAGAGAACAACTTTGAGAGCAAACGAGACTTTATTTCACTAAAAAAGGGAAACAATCCAATATCTCAATGGGAACCACTTCTTTACAAGAAGCAAGCCTCTCAATCTTCATGTGGCACAATCACAATATTTCTCTTCATAGAAAACACTCTTCTCTAAGAGGGAATTGCATCTTATGCACATGAGGCACTACCTCATTCTCTCTAGAGGAACCACCATTCCCATATGGTGGCCCAAATACGGCACACAAATTCTAAGCACTTTCATCTTATACATATATGATTAGGAAGTCATACTAAATAGGAAACTTCCTATTAATGTTACATATATCTAAAAAGACCAAGAAATATATCTAAAAGTTCTAAACTATTTTGGAATTCTATTTCATTTAGTAAACTTATAAATTATCAATATTAATCTCACATAATAAGGAAATATCTCAATCCACATAATATGGGATTTCCTTATGTGGGTGATTTTGGATGGCACCAAATCCAACACAACACACTATCTGTCGGATCAGCTTCATTTGAAATAAAAGAAAACATGGGGAGTTGGGTGCAAAATTAAATGAGAGAAATGTTGATTATAAAGAGTATTTTCATCATAATAAATAACTGTTTTAGGATGTGGGTATAAAAATAAATAGTATTGAGGATCATAATATGGTTTAAAGAGTGTTGGGTAGCATGCCTAAAAAGTTGCATCCATGGGGTATCTATAATATTTTCTTAAAAATAAAAATCCTTAATACTAAAAAGAACAGATTGGGAGCTAGAAAGTGCCCCAATCGTTTTTCTTTCTTTTTAAATTCATCTTAGTGTTCAATAAATTTTGAGAAAGTTCGAGGTATTCCCCCTAAGGTGTTATTGACTGCAGAAACATGTGAAATTTTGGCCAGGGGTACACGAACCCAATAAATAATAGCTAATGGACCAGGGAAGGTATTCGGCCCAGCACCCCCTCTTCAAAATCTATCAAAAACATAAGAACCAAAATTTGAGCTCCAGGATTATGAAATATGAAATAATGGAATTTAAGCCCTAAACTAGTCCATCTTAACTACTCTCTCCACACCTATTTTGGACCATCCAGTTCAATGGACCTTAGATCCATCATCTTTTCATCATTTAGGTGCTCCAAAATCATGGATTTGCCCGTGTTTTCATCATTTAGGTGCTCCAAAACCATGGATTCAAGCAAATAGTATTCGTTTATTTTGTTGGGGGAGGGGGAGACGCATAATTTTGGTGATTTAAGCTAGACACATTAAATAATAGAACACCCGTCTCGTCAATAGTAAAACGATGTTAGGGTAGCAGGATGCCACAGCATGATGTTTATAGTTGAGCAAGATGCCATAACATGATATTTATAGTTCCATTTCTACTACAGTACCAAGTTAACATTGGGTGGGGGGATCACTGAAATTTGGCTCAAACCTAGACAAAATTACAAACGAATGTTATATTCATCAAAATTTGGGGCCTAAAATATTGAAACATTAATTAAAATAATTAATTGACCAAAATATCCTTAAAAAATTTAGGGGTACTTTTGTCAATTTATTGTCATATTTTATTTTAGGTGTGTTTGATTGAGAGTTATGAATGCCTAAAATTTCATATTAATCTGATTTATAAACGTCATTAAAATTAATACCTTGCGTAATTGCAACTGTCCATTTTTTTTTTTTATCTCATGTGTAATTGTAATTGTCCATTTCTTTCTTTTTTTTGTTTTTTTTTTGTTTTTGAGTAGATCAGTGGATACAGTTGAAATAATTAGTGGCTTTTGGATGCTTAAGTGGCTTCTACCACCCTAATCTAAAATCCATTACCAACTGTCCATTTTCTTCCTTTCCAATATATTTGAACATTGATTGCGCAATATTTACGTGGCCAAGCGATGCAGGCACTATAATTTTCAGTGAAAACTTTTGGGAAGGTTCTTTCCTTCTGATATTTGTACATACTCATGGAAAGCATGAAAAAGAAACACCCCTTCATTGCATTAAAGCTTAAAAATCTTGATATCCTTCCACCATGATTCCATGTAGTAGCTTTCGTTATTTGCTCCATAAACACCGAACTTGAAGTAGTGAGAACTTCCTCCTTGGTCCTTCACCTCCAAGTTTTGAACCCCATCTACCAAAACAATCACACTGTGTGTGATCATATCGTGAATGACATTGAGCTTGAACCATCGATCATAAATATGTGAAGCCAAGAGTTGGGATCCGTAATACATGAGCTGACCATTGTAGATCCTGAGCTGCAATGTCGTTGCCGCATGGTCCTTCACCGCGTTTTTTATTTGCATGATGGTAACACCCGTTGTCCTGTTGGGAACGAAGGCATGGCCTTCAAATTGCCATAAACCCGACGAGTAATCGTATCCCTGCTCAAAGAACCTTTAGTAAAGTAGTAAAAAAATCGAGTCAAGCTATTGTCCAAGCCCAAGTCCCCCAAGTCTGACTCAGGCAAGTCCAATTCAGACCGGGTTGTTTTCAACAAAAAGGATTTAAAATCAGGAGACAGGTAGTTCTAGGGTTTTCCCACCTAGAATGACCAGGTTCCTAATCATGTCTAACATGGTCAAGTCCCAAGTAGGACCGAGCGATTTTTCAACCCCAGCGGCTATCTCTCTAGCAGGTTGACCATCGAATGCTTCTTATAACTTTATTTTCTAGTAACCCTTAGAAAAATGTTCTTCTAAAGAAGTGAGACACCTCCATCTAAAATTTTGATAAATGTGGCTGTCCTTCATGATCTTCTGTTATTATACTAGAGGCTCCTTTTCCTCTTCTCCCATGGTTGGATTATGCTAGATCGAGTAAAACCATCAACAGGATCATTTACAAAATAATTAAAAAGGAAAGAAAGGAAAAGAAAAACCAAGAACAAACACTTCCTGCAACTATTTACTAATGGACTGGGAAGAGAATGCTATCACCCATGTATAAATGGCATGTCTAAACAAGGCCTAGTATCAGAATTCAAGAGAGACAGAGATTGTTCATCGATACTTACACTTATTCGAATCTCAGTTCGAGGCTTTGTATTGCTAGTTGGGGTGTGTGGCTTATCGTCAGCAAATACCCACATTCTATAGACTCCACCGCAAAAGCTAAAGCGTTGCTCTGCTGCTACATCATAAGGTCTTTGGATATTCAAATTCCGACTATGTAGAGGAAGTTCAGTGAAGCCATATGTGGAATCAGCAGTTTGCAATGCACCGACTCGCACTATTAAAGAAGACACCACAAAAAGAAAAGCTGTGACTAAGTTAAGCAATTCCAACTTCACTTTACTCAGTGAGAGCCTTGCCATGTTCAGGGATAGAGCATTAATCCACCATGGGTGGGTTAATCTTATATACATGTTAAATAGGTTATACTTTATCATTCTGATTTTATTTGTTTCTTGGCATGGCTGGTCATTAGATAGAGACTCTCATGGTGTGTAATTGTTTAGAGGTTGTTTGGTTCTTTTGGGGTAGGCTAATTTCTCAAGGTATGCAATATATAAATAAATCCTAGAAGCTTCTATAAGTTTAGTAGTAGCCCTAGGGAGCAAAGATAGAGACTCTCATGGTGTGAAAATTGTTTAGAGATTGTTTGGTTCTTTTGGGGTAGGCTGATTTCTCAATGTATGCAATATATAGATAAATCCTAGATACTTCTTTATAAGTTTAGTATTAGCCCTAAGGGGATACTTCTTTATAAGTTTAGTATTAGCCCTAAGGGGGCAAATATAGTCCTTAGATTTTAGTAACAAAATGAAGTAAAAAAATGAAGGAACCTGAACTGGGCAGTGTTTAGCTAATTCAAATTTCAAACCTCGAATTTGTGGAATGTCTTGCTTTTGGTGCTAAACATTTCTTGTCAGAATTTATTGGATTCTGAAAAATGAGGCCAAAATATACACATGCCAGCAAGCCACATTCTATTTTAAACTTGAATTTAACCAAAAACTGTCCATTGCCAGGTTTAAAACATGCAAATATAGCTTTTAGGCCAGCCTTTACCTAGCTCAATTGTATTTCTGCATTGAAACGGTTTACAATTTGGCTCTTCATTTTGTTATCAAAGATTAACTTCAAATGCAATGATGAGAATCGGGCTTGGGCTTGAGTGATTAGCAACTAGTGTTAGCAATGCTGCATCTCGAGTTTAACTCCTACCACAAATCTGTGTAGCAAAAAAAAAAGAAAAAAAAAAAAGAAGAAAAAGAAAATGAAGAAAAAGAAATTCATATACAATGATAATAATAAAAATAATGATAGTTAAGCAAAGGAGATGTCCTCTAGTTTGACACTTTAACCTCGAGGTACTAACCCCCCTTTGTTTTTTTTTTAATCTTAATTTTAGGTAGGACTAGTGTTCTTATTGGACAAATGTCGGACCCTCGGCCTCCCCCAGTGGAAACTCTTGTGTTGTATGATTTCATGCAAACATGGTTTGAATGATTCAAAGGATGATGCATGTATGAAAGCAGTGAACAATATGAAACCTTTTTAATAATTCAATTCATGTACATGGTCACAGATCATGTCGACTAATGATAAATAATAATTGTTTAGTAATAGTAACGACCAATGTCTAAGAAAACGAATCGGTGAGGCAGATCGTCCACACCCAATCCTGATTCAGATCTGCTGGGTTGGCAATTTGATCGTTCTTGAATCGTTCATAGATGGAGTTCAAAAGTTGGAAGTGACGGATCGAGGAGACCATTCTCATTACTTCAAGTTTTGAGTTTACGCTCAACGTAACTGAAGCTATTACATGGAATCACTGTGGAAGCATATCAAGATTTTTGAGATTTAATGCAATGAAAGGGTGTTTCTTTTCATGCTTTCCATGAATATATAGAAAGAAAAAAAAAACCATCCCAGAAGTTTTCATCCAAAATTATAGTGCTTACACCACTTGGACACGTAAATATTGCGCTATCATTGTTCAAACATATTGAAAAGGAAGAAAATGGACAGATGTGAATGGTGTTGAATGGTGTTGAGGTCGTGGTGGTAGCACCACCTCAGCCTCAGCTACCGGTCTAAGTTTCCACTCCCAATTGACACATTCGAAAACCACTATCCACTAATCTACTAAAAAAAATAATTCCACTCCCAACTGACACATTGGAAAACCACTATCTGATCTACTAAAAAAAATAAACAGAGTTGCAATTACACATAAGATACTAAAAAAGAAAAGAATTACTATTACACATAAGATACTTATTTTAAAAATATTTATAAATCTAATTTATATGAAATTTTAAGCATTCATAATTCTCAAACAAACACACCTAAAATAAAACATGACAATAAATTCACAAAAATACTGCTAAAATGATTGAGGATAGTATGGTCAATTAATTATTTTTAATTAATGTTTCCATATTTTAGGCCCAAAATTTTGATGAACATAGCATTCTTTTATAACTTTGTCTAGGTTCGAGCCCAAAATTACTGATTCCCCCACCCGATGTTAACTAGACCTCGTTTGATATATGATTGACAAACCCGTACTATCTGCTTAAACACCTGTAGAATCCATTTTCCCACTTAAAATTGGTTTTGGAGCACCTAAAATGATGCAAACATGATGGATCTACCGTCCATTGAAATGGATGGTCCAAAATAGGTGCCTAGAGAGTTGTTAAGATGGACTAATTTAGGGCCTGAAATCCATTATTTTATGTTTCATAGTCGTGGAGCACAAATTTTCATATTTTTCCGCAGCCAAAAAACACCAAGTTAGGGGGATACCTCGAATTTTCTCAAAATTTATAGAGTACTAAGTTGAATTTAAAAAGAAAGACAAATGATTGAAGCTCAAAACGGCCTTAGATCTAACGTCCAAATTCCGTATTGGAGTTGATTTATTGTTTGGGGCACTTTCTAGCTCCAAATCTTTTCTTTTTATTTTTAAGGATTTTTATTTTGAAGAAAATTTATAGATACCCAATCGACGTCACTTACACTTTTTAAACCATGCCACTAATCTTAATATTATTTATTTTTGTACCCAGCCCCTAGAAAAACATTCTTTATTAGGATGAAAATATCTCCTATAACCCACATTTCTTTGATTTTGTTTTGTACCGAATCCCTGATGTTTTCTTTTTTTTTTTCAAGTGAAGCTGATACGACACATAGTACGCCAGACTGGCTTCAATAGAGGAGAGGAGCAAAAGAATGCAGACATTTTTTGGGGGGAGACCGGGGGGTGTATTTTCATCATTAAAAAACTACTATTTTACTTGTCGAAACATTACATACAAGAACACCAATCCGATATTTAACATCAAACCGATGCTTTTTCTTTAAAGGAAAATGGTTTGATAGGGTTGCTTCCCTATCAAATATGTAAAGTCCAACCTCAAAACACACTTAAATTTGCAGTTTTGGCGTCCAATGACCTTCAAATTGATCATCTCAATCTTGATGGTTAGGGGTGTGAAAAAATTAAGGATTTCAAAATCTAAAAATAGTGTATATTGTAACATATTATCTAGACTTACAGCCTAAAATAAGTACTCATAGATCTGCAAAATCTATACCATTTTTTTAGCTCCAAATTTCATAATTGGTGTCGGAAATTGATTTTAGCTCCGTCATGGAGATTTTCAATGCCCAAAGTGCTTTCTAGATGAGGATTCCAGATGAGGTTTTATTTTATTTTCATAAAGCCTAGGCCTTATAGAAACTGCATTAACTCCCATATGCCCCGTTCTTTTTTTTTTCTCTTATTTTGCTCAAAGTCCAATGTTCCAAACATGAGACTGCTTATTTATTTTTTTGAAGTGCAGGGACCAGTCTGATGTTGAAAATATGAGACCGGTCATCCCTAGTAATTTTTTAAAGCACATGGCCCGATGTTGGAGGCAAGACCAAAGTTTCAGAAAGACAATAAAATAGGCTGGTGCAATGTCTACAATATCGGACCGACTCTCCCATAAAGCTTTCTAAGACTTTTAAAGTCTTAATGTCTTAGGTGATCCATCTTACCATAAAAACCCTAGTGTGCCACAAAAAAGTTTAAAATCTGACGAAATTAGTGTAGTCTAAGAGCTTGTCGCCATTTCAGAAAAGTAAGAGTGTGCTCATGAAATCAAGGAAACGGAAAAAATTTTAAAATGTTTGTGGTCCAGCAAACAACCTAGAACATAAGTTGGTATTATAGGGGTAGTTATGGGACTCCGATATTAGGAATACTGGACCAACGTATATGGCTCTCTTTTTATAAATTTTGGTCTCATGTGTTGAACACCAGAATATATATATATATATTTTGTTTAAGAACAAAAAAATCTTTGTGATGGTCTGAAATTTTATTTTCAACTCTAATTATAAAATTTAAAGGTTAAAAAATAATGTAGATTGATCAGATCTATGTACACTTGAAAAATATTAAAAATTGATGATCCAGAAAATATACTACAAGATGCACTATTTCCATGATTTGAAACCCAGTTTTTCTCATATGTCCGTACCTCTTGAGATCGAAATGATTTATTTAAGTATTTTTTGGACATCGAAAGAACCACTTCCAGTGAATTTTTTAGGTATATTTTAATTTGATTGTATAAAACCTCACCCTCATATTAACGTTTTCCATATTTTATTTATTTTGTTCATTCTTTTACTTTTGGGTCAAAAGTGAGATTTAAGACCCTTCCCTCCATGAAAACTAGGACCAGTTACAGGTGGGGCACCTTTTTTAGGGAAAATGTGAAGGCTTCCAGTGTTCTCAGAGAAGTTGAAACCTGAAATTCAATTATGAATTTGTCTAATATGGGGAGGCACATTGTAAAGGACAGAGTCGTGTAAAAGGTGAACGGCCAATGCTCTAAGAGAAATTGAATGATGAAATCAACCAAGAATTTGTCTGATATTGGGAGCCACATTGTAAAGGACAATGTCCTTGCCTTGTTCAAGAGAAGTTAGAGGGCCTTATTTCTGTTTTTCTTTGGGGTAGTTCACCAGATAAGGGTTTCCCCAGCTACTTACACAACTAGCCATATTTTGTGACCCAGGACCAAGCATCCTCTAATTATGCAGTATGGACAAAGATGTCATGACCCCTTAACCAACCACTCCTATGATTATTTTTGGCTTTGGTGTAAGATGCCATGATCCCTAACCAACCACTCCTATGATTATTTTTTTGGTTTTGGTGTTAATTAATCTTATTACTAAGTTTTTATTTGAAACCCACTTTAAGCATGTAAATCCACCCTGCTAACTTTCAGCTTCCCAAAAGCATATGATTTTAATCACTGAAAACATGGGATGTACAAACCAGCTCTGTTCTAACTAT